AATATTCCCACCTGAACAACGCGTCTTCTTCTTTTCTCTCTGCTTTAAATCATGGAGACAACGTCTCCTTTGCAGTCCAACATTGCCTGCCTGACCGTGTGGAAAGCTACCCCATGCGACGTGGCCCAAAAGTATATTCGGGCCATTCCAGCCCTTGGGTCTTGTAGTCCACGTCTAGACTCTCTTTTTGCCAGACCTACTTGAGCTGCTTGAGAATCTCCGTCAAAAAGTCCTCGAAGCTGAGGGTGATGTAACCGTCTCTGTCGTCATCGTACTTCTTGAACACGTCCGTCATGCGCTTCAGAGAAATGCAAGCCTGGACGAAGAGATCGAAGGACATGACACCTTCCCCACGCTTGTCGTACGTCCGGAAGAGAAGCTCGACGAAACCAGGGCTGAGACGGTAACGGAAAGCAACGAGGGCGTTGGTGAACTCGCCGAGGGAAATGTTTCCAGATCGGTCGGCGTCGAATCGGTCAAACAGAGTGCGCCACGACGCAAGGAAGGACCAGAGGCCGCAAAATTCGGCGAATCCAATAGTGCCACTGCGGTCGGAATCGAACATGCGGATCATCATGCGAACTGTCTGAGGGTCGAAAGCAGTCCAGTCACCGTTGACGAGGGCAGTTGACAGCTCCCGCTCGGACAGCTGGCCGGTGCCTGTAGACAGTCATTAGTTGGCGGACGTTGCAAAAGGGCGTCGGCAGCATCACTCACCATCCTTATCGACCGCTCGGAATAGGGGCAGCAGTGTCGGATCTGCGCCGTCTGCGCTCATATCAGGAGCGGGAGAAGGAGGCGGCCGGGAGTTGGGGGGTGGCCGGGGTTGGGCGTTCGGGCGGGGGTTGCCCGTCGGAGGGGGAGAGCTTACGCCGTACATGTTGGGGCTGGGTCGGCGATGGTCGTTCCGAGGATCGGGACGGTGGTACTCGTCGCGAGGGACGGCTGGAAGCTTGTTTTCGTAGCGAGGCTGAGAGTGTTGCTGAGGATGCTGCTGGGAAGGCTGCTGGGAAGGTGCCGGGGCAGCGCCGCCCTTCTATGATGGAAATGTTAGTTTATCTGCAAGATGCGCGATCCAGGGGGTGACGGGTGCCGATGGGATGAAAGTGGTAGAAATGTCGTCAGGTGACCGGAGGCCGAGGGCGCAAACGTACCTGTTCGGGTTCCGCGAACCTAGGAGGGGGTTAGCATGGCGGGGTAAAGAAGGAGATTGGGTATTTAGACCATGAACAATGGGCTAGATGAATGGTGTTGTGTGCAACGTACCTTGGAAGTTCATCGGGGTTGTAGGGTCTGTTGTACGCCATTGCGAAAATTGGTGCGGATTCGGAGCAAGCAAAAGTTCAAGAGAAGGAAGAGAAGGGTCTTTGGAGGCGAGACTGGATTGAGGCTCCTGGGGTATATGAAGCTGGCGCGGTGGGGGGGATTACTGTGGGCAGAGAGAGCAGAGGGGAGCCGCAGTAGCTGTATGTAAAAGCCAAGAGAGAATGATGGGTTATGGAACCTGGAAGCAAGCAGGGGAGCGGAACCGCGACTCAACGTCAGGCGGCAGTCGGCACGCTAGTCAAGAGGTAGGGCTGGGTGGCCGGTGGGTTAGGCTGCGGCGAAGGAGGACAAAGTGCCAATCGGGCCTTGAGCTCAGTGAAGAGAATGCAGAAATTGGTTTCAGCCGCACGCCGAATGTGCAGTGAGGCTTGGGCTGAGTATGGGTGGTTTGCTGATGTCCAAGGTAGTAGTTGCGGTCGTAGGTTGACTTATGCTGGATGTGGTTATCGCGGTGTGTAAGGTAAGGCTTTCTTTCGACCTCTCTTCTGCAGTCAGGGTGGAGGAGGGGAAGGAATGCAGATGGGCAATAAATGACAGGTCGCGGAGATGACGAAGAGGAGGGGGAGGCTGCTATCTGGCCTTGTAAAACAAGACTAAACAGACAGCAAAGAGATGGGAGCTCTCGGCAAACGGAAGACCGGACAAGACAGCTTCTTTTTTTGGGGGTGCGCGGGATGGCACGAGCGGTGATGTGCAGGGAAGGTACGTGTATTATTGATGACAGGAGGTGTTGGAAGAAGCCGAAGGCTCGGTGTGCGTATGAGTCGGGGCCTGGATCACGTCACGAAACAGATTGGACAGAATTGGGTACAATGCGCAAGCGTTGTGGCGGTTTACGGCTTCGCGGTGCACTTGAGAGATTGCGAATGGATAAAAAAAAGGACACCATAGGCCAGCGGGAGTGCGGGAGACGGGATGAACAGGCGATGGTTTGCAAAGTCAGCCTCTTGAGTGGATATGTGCGAAATTGCATTTCTGGGGATACGGGCTAAAAACAGAACAAGAACAAGCTCCAAATGATTTCTTTGCTCGCTTTTGGATTCTGATGCCCGTTTTTGCTCCTTCCCTTTTACTCTTCTGTACGGAGTACGGAGTACATAGTAAGGTACCTTACGGATACCAGGCACCGGGGAAGGTACGGATACGCCAGGGCTGTCTGCCTCTCTCCCGATACCATACTGGTTCCATATTTCTGTACGTATTATTCTGTCTTCTTTCGTCATCTCTCGACTTCTTTCAGCAATTTGCCATTCAGTCAGTTCATCAATCGTCAGAGTCACCCATCAGAGTCATTGTCAGTCAAGTCAGTCTAGTCTGTGCCCAGCTCGGTTTCGTGGCCCCGCCACGTTCGCCTGGTGTTCCTGGTTCTGCGGCTATCGGGTGGATTTACTAAGCCAACGCCGCACCGGGGGCTAGGGGGGGGGGGGGGGGGGGCGGAAGACGGAGGGGGTGGCGGAGGGCACAGCCAGAAACCAGCGTCGCACGAGACGCGGTGTCCAGCTCGAGGGGGGGGGGGGGAGGAGCGCGGCCGAGCCGGCGGGGGGGGGGGGGGGGGGGGGGGGGGGGGGGTCCAAGCTATTGATTGAGAAAAGCAGACAGGATGGGAAAGAATACCCATTGCAATCACAGACAACATTGAACACTGAACGTTTTAGATCTCAGAGAAAGATACGGGCAGGTCCGCGCAAATCCCGTCAGAAGAAAACACCCACGAGGGCTCTAGCGCGGGACAGCTCGGCCACATACGCGCTTAGCGTACGGATAATTCGTATCTTCAATACCGTTATTGCTAAGGTAGTTTGACTTAGCTTACCTGCCTCTGTCTTTGTGTGGGTGATGACATGCGTGGTGCACTACGGAGTAGGTACTTAGTTTTGTTCCCTGTATCCACTCAATGGCCCCAAGGGGTCTTTTCTTCGTCTCGGGACCGGGTACGTGATACGATCCAGATACAGATCGCGACCGGAGCCATAGAAAGGGGTCCTGCGTAGTCCTGCACACTTTAAATTTCAGCCTGGAGCCTCCTTCTTTTTTCTTTCTTTTTTCTTCGTCTCCCCAATCATTGCAATCGCCCACCGACCGCACTGCGCATCCCTAAGGCTTCAGCTTGATCATCAGACAAGTGCTGCCTCGGAATGGAGCCTGAGAGGTGTGGGATACGGTATACTCCGTACCTTACGGATACTTGCCGTATTGAGTAAGTTTTGACAGGATTCAGGGCCAGGAATGAACGTCGGACCATGCGTTAGAGGGGTACGTATACACGTAATTGAGAGTACTCCGTACTTACCTATCTGAATGGCACTTATTCCTTACAACTCCGGGCTCTCCCACACACCACGCACACTCACACACACTTGAGGTAACGGGAAAGTCCTCTACACCATCGGGCCGGGCGGCATGACAACCATCTGAGATGGAGCTGGTGGTTGAGGTGTATCCCCATTTAAGCTTATTTCACCATGGCACGTTCACTCGCCAGCACCCGAGGTGAGATGATCTGGCCAGTTGGCAGGTGTCCGTCCCTCTTCTGACCTTGGCCTCGCACCAGTAATCACCTCACTCGTCAGTAAGGTGAGGTAGTTCGACCTGATGGATCTTGCATGTGGACAACTGCCATGCGCCTCATCTCTAGGCAGTGAGTGCTTTGAGGCCCTCTCTTCGTCTTCGAATCATCGTGTATGCGTGACCGTCCACAGTCAGCCCGTACCACCCTAACATCCTTCCCTTCCATTGAGTCTGCGAGTCTGCCCTGCCTGCCCCACCACAGCCCCGGCACCAATGCCCCTCCCCAGAACGCCGAGCCTCCAGCACGGGACGCCGGCAAGCGGGATTGCGTATGCTTTCCAGCTTTTTTGCAGATTCGCGGCCATCAACTCGACCTGCCCGTTCTTTCTCGATCACTTGGAACACGTCCGTCTCCCTCTCCAGTCTTCCATTTCTTCCCCGCCTTCTAATTCCAAAATCGTATGTACCGTCATCTCCTTCTCTTCAAGACCACGCCCCGATTGATTCACTTTACCCTACCTCACATAGGCCCGCCACTTTGACTTTTCCGCCTGGGCCGTTTTAGACCCCCCAGTCCCCTCCCCTTCTAGAACATTTCCTCTTCCTCTTCATCTTGCTTCTCCTCTTCCTCTTCCTCATCGTCTTCCTCGTCCACCTCTCTTCATTACCCCTCAAATCTGACCTTTCCCGTCGTGTTCTGTTCTGCTTGTTTGCCTGTCTGCTTGTCTGTCTACCTATCTCCAACATGCGTACGCGCGGCTTCATGCGGTCCCCTCACACAACTCCCACCTCGGCCCTTGCGGTTTGCCGCTCTGGGGCGTCACCAATGGCTTTCGTAACCTTCAGCCCTCACGCGCCTGGGCAAGTGCCCTGAGAGATCGATCCAAGCTGGATCGCCGAGCTGCCTCTGCCGCTTCTCTTTTATGTTTTGTGTGTGTGTGTGCAGGGTCCGAAGCGAGTTACACCGGAGTGGGACTGATTTGCTCGAAATTCCTCCAGGCTTTGGCATCGTGAACACCAGTTGTAACACTCTTCTCAAGTGTAGGTACTCACCTCGAATCCACGGTGGACACCAACAACTGGACTGTCATCTCTCATATCCCGTCTCTTCGCCTTCTTCGTGTCGTACATCGTCTCAGGCAGACTTCAAATCTACGACAGCCGGCATGCCCGACACCGACCTCTCCACCAACGGCAGCGGCGAGTTCTGGCTGTACGGTTATGGGTACGTTCTCGACCTTTCGAGATCACCCTCGATCCCTGCCGCTCTCCCTACTGGGCTGGACTGGACTGGGCTGCTCTTGTCCTCCAGCTCCTCCCGCCCTCCCGCATGGCGCACGCATCCCTGCCTGCCGTAGACAAGCCTCACACATGTCGGTGCTAACGTTACAAACCCCGTCTTCCAGGAGTCTGATATGGAAGCCTCCGCCGCACTTCGGTTAGCCTCACCTCGTCCACACCACACCCCCCTTCTATCCTCCTCTTCCTCCTCCTCCTCCTCTTCCTCCTCCTCCTCCTCTTCCTCCTCCTCCTCCTCTTCCTCCTCCTCCTCCTCTTCCTCCTCCTCCTCCTCCTGCCCCTTGCCGCCATCCGAGCCGTCGGCTGATCTATGTCGTCCACCCCCCACAGATAGAAGAATCCCTGGATGGGTGACAGGATACGTCCGTCGCTTCTGGCAGGTTCGTCTCTCCCTTACCTCCCCCGGGCGTGCCGTCTCATCCAGCCCCGTGGAACACAAGGCCACCTTGCGTCCCTAGTGCCCGCTGCGACCAATGCTTATTTCCACTTCACGTCCTGCCTCCCCCTCGCCTCCACTAGTCTCACTAACACCTCACGCAGGCAAGGTAACCACTTGACCCTCAAGGGCTTTATAACACCCGCCATCTTGTCCCACATCAAGACGTCCTGACCCCTTCACTAGTCAAGACCACAGAGGCACACCCGAGGCTCCTGGCCGTGTTGTCACGCTCATAGAGCGCTCGTTCTGGGAGCAGCTGACCGACCACCACGACTCGGCACCTGAACGCGTCTGGGGTGTCGCCTACCGTATCAAGGCAGACAAGGTCGCCGAAGTCAAGGACTATCTTGACATTCGCGAGATCAACGGCTACACGATCCACTACGCCCCTTTCTACCCAGCTGATGGCTCCGAGCCAATCCGCACACTTGTGTACATTGGCACCCCGGACAATGACCAGTTTGTCGGACCACAGGATCCTCAGGCTCTCGCCGCCCACATCCGTCAGAGCCGCGGCCCGAGTGGGCTAAACATCGACTACCTTCTTGGCCTCGAAGAAGCTCTTGACGGACTGAGCCCGGAGAGTGGCGACGTCCACATCACCGACCTCTCCAACAGAGTACGGGCCATCATCTCCGCCGAGGAGACATCCCACGATGCTACGCAACCACCGCTGTCAGCCGTCGGCGGTACTTTCAAGCAAGAAACCAGTGTCAAGGAACAGGAGGAGACTGAAAAGACAGACTGAAGAGTTTTTCTGCACATTCTTTCGCCTCTTCTTTTTTTTCCCCCTTTGAAAATCAAGCCTCTGCCCACCCAACCCCTTTTTTCAACCTTTCCCCTTTGGCCGTGGTGCAACAACGCCTTGGAGCCCATGTCAACCAACATTCTTGTTTCAGAACATTCAACACATAGAGAGTCAATCAAGAGAGACAGTCAGGCAGACATGTAGCGTTAGACCACAAATCCGTTGGCGTCCACGATGAATCCGACAACACTCTGCATCATTCCCAAATACAAACCCACATCGCCGCCCACCCATACCCCCACAAGGATCACCGGAAAAGGAACCATCACCGCATGCGGAAAACACACCCAGACTTTAGTGGCAGCAACCATTTTGGGGCAACAAGGGTGAAGATCAAGGACAGAAGCAGAAAACCATTCCAATTGAGAAGACTAGGCCGTTACCAACCCTTTTGACCGCGGGTTGGGGTTTTATTTTCCAGAGATCCAGTGCAACAGAAGAACCGGGTATTGTGTTGCAGCGAAGAATATCACCAAAGCTCGATCGAACCAACGGGCGCGCACACGAACGTCTGTCAGACTCGGAGCAGTTGAGCGTCGGCAACATGTCTTGGCCGCATGTTCCCGAGTTGCGAAAACCGACAACTAGCGGGCAACGAATCTCCGAAATCTAGCGAGCGCTAATAGCCTCGGCCGCCCTGGGGCTGCTGAGACGGGTCGGCGTATCCGTAGGGAGCCTGGGGCGCGTACCCATCTATGAGGTATTAGCAAGACGAATCAGCAACAGAGACGACATCGTCAACTCACCCTGGGGAGGAGCACCGCCGTAGGGCTGCTGAGGGGGGTAGCCGCGGCCGTAAGCAGGCTGCTGCTGCTGGTAGCCCATGTTGGGAACGCCGTATCCACCGGGAGCGCCTCCGTAAGGCACAGGGGGCGCGCCGTAGCCGCCACGTCCACCACCGCCGCCGAAGCCGCCGCGGTAGCCACCGCCACCGCGGGGACCGTTGTCAGAGGCCTTATCAACGCGAATAGTGCGTCCGTCAAACCTGTCAAGTTGATGTGTTAGTCGGCTGAAGGGTTCCCACGATCATTGCGCCGGGACAAGCAAGCAATGGAAAGCAGTTTCGCAAAGGCAGCGTACTCGACGTTGTTCATGGCAGCAATGGCCTTCTGAGCGTCACTATCCTGAGTGTAGCGGACGAAGCCGAATCCACGGCTGCGGCCAGTGTCGCGGTCCTTCACAACGACCTTCAAGCAGGGGAAGAATAGCGGTCAGATCTCTCTCTCTCTCTTTCTCACGCACAAAAATAGACCCTCTCTCTTTTCGTTTTTACTGGAATGTTGGGACAAAGTGTCTCTCCATGGTCTATGGCGACGCCATTCTCAAGAAAGTTTCTTCGGACCGGGCGATCAGTACTTACAGCTTCCTCAACGGCACCAAACTCCTCAAACTTCTGTCTGAGAGTGCCTTCCTCAGTGTGCCATGCAAGGCCGCTGTTGGAAATCTTGTCAGCAAAAGTTTATTTGATATTGTCGACGTGCACAATGCGCCAGCGCAAGAGGGGGGAAACGTACCCAATAAAGAGCTTGGACATGATGATGGTAGAGTAATGTGTCTTGTTTCTTGCAAAGAGATTGCTGAACTATCTGTTTGTCTTGCGAGTTAGGATCTGTTCAACAAAAAAAGTCCGAGGGAGGCTGCAATGCATAAATGCAAGTGGTTTCTGTGTGGCGCCAAGCGGGGTTCTTGATGGCGAGGGAAGAAAGTCAAGGGACGAAAGCGCTCCTTTTGGCACTTCTCGGTTGAGCATGCGAGTCAACATTGGGAGACTTCGCATCCACCTGTGCAGCAAAGAGACGAGGCAGTGTCCAGTGATGGCCTTTGTCACTTGACGATAGCGCGCAAAGTGGCCCGACATGGGCGACAAAGCAAACGTACAATTTCCAGGCCGGAGGATGGCAGTGCGAGATGGAAAGCAGATGGGGTTGTGGGCTGTGTCAAACAAAGAAGTTTGCAGTCGTCGCCACGGGATGAGAGGAAAGAAAAAAGAGAGAGAGAGAAACCGTTGACCGCTGGAAGAGGCCGAGGTGTGTATTGATTTGTTGCAGTATTTTTTTCCGAGGAGAGTGAGGGATTGAGGGAAGTGAGATACGGACCTGGTGGTTGGAATTAGGTGGGCGGTGTTGGTGTTGGTGTTGGTAGGAGTGTGGTGATTGTGATGACAGACGTCAAGATTGAGACTGGGCTTTGATGGATCGAAAAAAGGAAGGAGGGGGTGAGAAGGAGAAGAGTGAGAAAGGCCACCTTGAGGGGAGAAAGGAAATGCTGGTTAGCGGGAAATTTCTGAATGGATGGAGGGAAAGGGCGTTGAGGCAGTGCAAAAAGGGCCCAAGGCAAGGCAGGTAAGGTTTGGTGTGTATGAGTGTGGGAGTGGGAGTGGAAGGCGAGTTGACTGGACAGGAATGGCTGCCGTAAGGCAAGGTAAGGTAAGGAAAGGTAAGGTAGGCAAGGTGCTCCGTTACCCGCACTCCGTACTTCGTACCTTACACACAGCAAATGGGAAGAGGCAAGGTAGGAGCGGAACGGGGAACGGGGGGTGAACGGGGGGACGAGGGAAGGTGAGGGGCACCAGCAGCAGGCGTTGCCTCTTGCTCTTGCTTCCTGGGGTGCAACAAATTGCTTGCGAGGTAGGTATTCCCAATGACCCCATTTGCGGCTTGCCGTCGCTGGTCCCAGCCAAGCACTTGTCCGTTGTCTTCCGTGCTTGTCGCCGCCGCCGGCTGTTCTTGATCGGATTGGGACTGGAAGGCGCCGTGCGGGCACGATGCGAGATGGACAACAGCTCGTGGCGGGAACGTGGAGGGGTCCAACGAGTCGGGGCAAGTGGAGGAGGAGGGGTGCTTCAATTCAATTGACCGACGGGCAACAAGACGTCTTGAATGACGGCATGCAAGGTACCTTTCCTCGCTAATGACTATGACCAGGTACAATGGTAAACGGCAGGGTTGGTTGGTCTCGGCCTGAGGCGACAGGAACGGGCAAAGAATAAGATAGAAAAGAAAGAAGGAAAAAAGTACAACGGAAACAGTTTTTTTTTTGTTTCTAAGGGGAAAAAACGAACCGTGTTCGTATCTTTGGAATAGACCCATAGAGAGGAAAAGAGAGATAGAGAGAGAGGTAAAAGACGCGTTGGATAGCGGAAACATACCTGTTTGTGATTGGTTCCCGGCACCCAATATCTCGAGTCGAATTCCTGTGATGGAGTCGAAAATGCGTTGAGAGAAAGGTCGAGAAAGTGGAACAAAGACGTAGTAATATTCTCGGAGTAGGTAAATGGAAAAATCACAATGCGGGACAAAAGCCGGTAGGAATCCGTTCCCTCTCCTCAGTAAGTCAGACCAAGTACCAGATCCCTGACGATAAGGTAGCAGTAGGCAAGGGGAATGGGGAACGAAAAAAAAAAAAAAACAGCTTCGGAAGCAGGGACAGGCGCAGGTCACTGTCGGATTCGAATAATCGCGCTTTTCTTTGTCGTTCTCTCGTTCCTTTTCCCACGGTCTTCGGTTTGTCCCCCCTCCATCCCGATTCTCAGGCGCGTCCCTGTTCCTCATATTATATGCGATGGACACAGGGTCCGCTGGGGCGAGTCCAACAGCGGCGGCGGCGAAAGGCAGGCCAAGATCAGTAGTATTTTCGATACATGCGATGTGAGCATGACAATATGGAAAACTGACTTGCCTGCGGGGAGGAGGGCATGTAGGCACTTACGTACGGTACCTTGCCTCACCCTGAGAGGTACATGCGTCTTTCTTACAGGCCCGCTTGCTTCCTGGATCATTGCCGCCGCCGCTGCTGTCGCTGTTGCTGCTGGAACGCCGCACACGAGGCAAGGGCCAAGACATCTGGGAGATCTGCCCGGGAAGAGGGACCCATGAAAATCCATCCATGAGCATCTAGTGTGGTGTCAAGGGGAGGGGGGGTCCCCAAGAGGGGACCGCCCACATCCCAAATTCGGCTCTTCTGCGCAAGGGGGGGGTTGTGGAAGGGAAAAGGCCCAAAGGGCCAACGCCCATCAATGTTTCGACCAGAGCATAAGTGTGGTAGCAGGGTTAGCTTCCCCTCCCAAACAAGCATCAAACAGACGAAAAGCTCACATGTACATCCCCGCGATACTTCTGTCATCCATGACCGTCTTTTCTCTTGCCGCGAGACATACAACCCAGACGCGGCGCTGCCATTCGCATTCAGTCATTCTGAATCAGTCCAATCCAGCCAAGTGATATGCGAATGCTCCTGTGTATGCATGCCGCCCGTCAAACCGCCTTCGAGTGGATGTCTTTTGTTTGAGAAACCACCATATCGCAGCTTTTTGGTTTCGATACCGAGCTGTCGCGGCCTGGCCTCGTGGACGTTGTCGCGTTCCGTAGCACTTCAACTCTGACAACGCAAGACGAGACGCACGCAATTACGCACTCGACCTCCAGGCAGCTGCTCTTCTGAGGCGTTCTGTCCATTCTGTGAGCTCTCGTCCGGGGCTCATGCCCCGTCAGCATTATCACCATCACCAGGAGCCAACGGCTTGTCGCTCAATGCGGTGCCAAGTACCGTGATGTCGAGAAACTCCACTGCTGCCCGTCCTTTGATACGGCTCATCATTGTGCCCAATGTGCTCACACTTGCGGTCGACCTGACTAACCAAGCGCCTGCAAGTATGGTGGGATGAGATGCAGAGACCAGGACCACGGAAAGCTTCTTAAAACCCATGAACCCAGCTATTGCAGGGTGTGAGCAGGCGAAAAAGGCTTACTACCGGATCGCAGGCGAGGGGGAAAAGTTCGGCCATGGGAAATCAGCCCATGATGTACGATCTAGCTGCCCCTCCTTGCAGCCAGTCGAGTAATTCGCATCCGCACAGACGCCGGCGTTGCTAGTCTTTGGTGAGCCGCTAGATAGACGATGGTCGAGCTGAAGCTGGCAACGCCGACGAGGGGCGCCATAAGAGACATGAGGTATACTCCGTCGGCAGTCAGGCTGGGTTTCTGGAAGTTGGTTGAGAAAGAAGAGGGAGGGCAGTCGACAGGGTGCTATCCTAACAACAGGAAGAAACAGATTGGCATCTGTGTCCGCCATTATCGTGCTGGAAACACCTGCGCGAGACGACAGGCTTGGCCTGGTCACTTGCGGACGCACTGGACCAAGAGTGACACTCCTATTCGACCCCACACTTTGCACAGCCTCCTTCGACCATGCCCAGTTTGAAGCAAGATGAACATCTTGGAGCTGCAACATCATTCTCCAGCGTCCACCTTCTCCTGAAAGTGGAGTCTCCTAGTGTTGCACCTCGCTGCAGAGCCTGCAGAACCGGTTCTCGACTCGGCTTGCATTCCAGATGTGCGGCGTGACGGGCTCCGGGAGGCGGCCAATTCTGACTGATGCTCGAATGTGCGTCCCTATCCGTTTGATTTCGCCCGGCCAGCATATTGCGACATTCGCCGTACCCGTGCCGTCGCCGCCCCCCTTGCTGCGTCGTAGCGCAATTGACCATCTGTTTGCTGACATGTTCGTGCCATGCTGCTGGCGACTGCGAGTGCAGCCTTTATCCCACGCAGGCGTCCCGGAGAAAGCCTGGATGACTTCGATCGTCTTCTCACTCGTCAAACTTGTCCATGGGTGGTGTCGGTCTGTAGTCCGTCCCTGGCTTGTCGTCCAATGCGCTCCAGGGTTCTAGCCATTTGCTCTCGTCACGCTACCCTCGTCAACCTCGGCTTGCCGTTCCGCCGTGACCTTGGCCTAGATGCTTCTTTCTCATGCGCAAAGATGTGACCAAGTAGCTTTCTAAGGCGAGAGTTCCTTTGCCGGCATTAACTACTCATGCGAGGCGACACGCGAAGCAGTCCGTCTTGGGAGAGCTCTGGGGCCAGCAGCTAACAAGAAGTCGGTAAGCAACCTCTGTTTGGCGCAAAACGCTCAATGCCGTCGTCTCCTTGAGGCTCCACTCCCCGCGAGGCACTGACCAGCGAGAGGCCCATGAGCAGCCTTTGCGATGTGGGTGAATTTGCTGAAGTCGTGAAGTCAACCTCTCCTTGTGGATGCATCTTGTGGTCCAAGTTCTCCTTGCTAGTGGAGCTGGTCGATCCAGTGGAGACGTCGACGGCCGTCACCCTCTGTCGTATCGTCAACTTGGTTTGGCCACGACTGCCCCTCCCTCAAGTCACGCACGGCGCACAAACAACCCCTCAACTCTCCTCGACGTTCGACCTCGAGACATTCGGGACGTTTGGTACCTACTCGCCCGACAATTGTCCGTTTCGTGCGACGCGACATTAAATAACTTGACAATCCTGAGCCGCTCCCCAGACGTCAGCGCAACAACGACCAGTAGCAATACACCTTGGCGACGTCGGGCTCAGTCATGTTAGTTGCCGTCCTTGCGACTCAGACTTTCAATTTAGTTTCATCGTCAACAATCGAGCAGCGCCGCTCTGAAAGAGGTTTGATATCGACTGTATGATGTGACGCAACGACGTGTCAACGGCTAGAGAACTTCCTCAGTAGGGTCTAAAGTGGTGGAACCTTAAACTACGTACCCATGGAAATATAGCCGCCGTCATATGTCGCATGGGCCAGCGATTATGGGGGCCTTCAAGTCGAGAGATGGAGGGGCAACTTGGCCTCCGGAATGCCACCAGCAGGAAACCTAATGCACATGTCCGCGATCCAGCCGGGAATACCAAGGTTTGGGGATGGCTCCATGCTCCGGCAGCATTTCGACTTTCAGACCGCTTTGTTGCTGCTCCCACGATGAGATTTTGGCTTTCGCAAGTTGAATATAGGTAGCTAATCGACGCATATCGTATAGTCGTACGCTCGCGGCAGGGCTGGCGGTTAGAAAGAGCACGGGGTTGTTCTCTGGGGATCCCAGTGACATTCGAAACTGCCAGGGACCGTCTATAATTAAAAGGTCTTGACCGGACGACGGTGAAACTTGCTGCGCCTTCTTCGAGGTCCACATCCTGATTTTTGGTTGCAAAAGCAAAGAGCTTGTTAGGGCCAGCGTCGTTATCGACACATATAGAGAGCCTGAGATACCGCTGCGCAATGACCTGTCCGGGGGGAGCTCTTGTAGCCACGTGCGTCGTCACGGACGATACGACCCTGCGAATTGTCTCTTGAGCTGATCTCCAAAGCTACTTGCACCTGACTGCGCGCGATTTCTTGGGTACCCGATTCCCCGACGATTAGGCATTGTCGCCCAGAAACTCTCAAAGAGGACGGAGGATTGGCGACATCGAGCCCGGAGACAATGCTATAGCTCCGGTAAACTCTGGCAGATTCGTGCTCCGCATCTTTTCAAAGTCATGTGATGAATGCAGGCACAGCTTCTTGCCGCACTATTCGTATCGATGTGAAGTGGATTTGTTCGTAGACCAGGCGTGTATAACGTGCGAGATTCGTTTGAGCATATTTCGCGGCCACAGGCACAGGAGCCTGCATGTCCAGCTGTCAAGCATCTGTCAGGACGGGTCGAGAGCGGTACGGCTGCCCTCATCGCCAAGGTGGTGCTATCAATAGAACTCGGCCGGGTATTCGATACAGGACATGTTCCGTCTCTACAGGGCCATGTCTTGGCATTCTGAGACAGCCGCAACTTGAGGTTCGCGTCGCCTGCATATCAAGTGCGCCGGCCAGCCGATGATGGTTGTCGCTTGACCCAAGAAGCAAAGCGGAATGGTCATGGTGTCATGCTGCCCGACGATGCCCTTCACGCGGGACTTCGCGAAATGAAATGTGCCAACTTGTCCCACCTGCCGCCGTGGGTGCGTCGAATCACGGCTTGGCCAGATCAGAGCCCGGATTGAGCCACGGTTTACTTGTCCATATCCGTATGAGCATGCTGCGGGTTTCTAGGAGTTTTTCCAGCGTCGTGTGTAGGCGTTCACCTTCTCTTCAGCTCACCCGTCTTACACGCCGGCACCTTAGGCGCTACGAATTTCGCGCTCGAGGTTGGCCTCTCATGGTATACCCGAAGGACATAGTTCAAGTCAGTCTCAAGGTAGGCGGCGAATCTCCCTCGCAGTCGTGGTAGCAAATTCCCCGAGATGGGAAAGCTTGGAAAGCATTGGGAGGCAGCTGTGCAGAGGCGAAAAGCTGCTCAACAACTGTGGCCTGGGTGGGACTGCGTCTATTAGCCAAGACTCGTTTGGAACAAGAGCTGATGTCAACAGGTCTACTTTTGAAAACCTCGCATGCTAAGTGGCATCAGGTCGATTGAACCGGCGGAAGCAATGGTATCTAGGTGTGCCAAAAATGACATTGCATTGGAAGCTTGGAGACTAGAACCGACAGTCTGCAGATTTCGAGTGAGGTTGAATCCGGCCCACTTTCAGGCAAGTAATGGTACCTAGGAAATGGAAGGTATTGCCGCACGTCAGATCAAGATGGAAGGACCTCGGCCTTTGGGCTAGAGCCTAAAGGTTTCGTGCTTGCCCTGCCTAGTCTGCACAGCAATCTTAGCGCCTAATATCAGGTAAACCGTTCCTTCCTATGTGGGAACATCAGTCGACCTCTTTCTGTGTCGGAAGCGAGCTCCACATTGCCTATAACCTGCCTTACGTGAGCGAGGAACCTCTTTCTTCGCCTTGCAAAAGAAACGAAGAAAGGACCAAGTGAATTCAGGACTGGGAGAGAAATGCCATCCTCAGGGTACGGGGTGTTGGTATTTCCCATACCGTGTGGATAGCTATTGCCGTTCTACCAAGAATGTGCTTCCTAGAGACATGTTCGGCGTCGGGCTGAAGCTTCAAGGCTGGAAATGTCCAGACTACATGTGCCCGTCATAGTTTGCTCTTTTGAAGTTCTTTGGACCGTTAGTCTCTGTGGGCCCCAAACCTGCGCGGAAACAGAGCACGATGGGCAGTCGTGCGGCCAAGGATCATCAACTGGACCTGCATCGTCGCCAGTACGGCCGCTCTAGCGACAGACCCGTCGCAACAAGGCACCCATACCTGGAAGAAGAGCGGATGAGCCGTTCTAGGTCGAGAAGGGTGAACCAGGCTTCGGATGGCAGTCTACTCGAAACCGCCAGAAGTGACAATGACATTGTGGAAGACTGGCTTGCCAATGTCAGTCGTCGAGGCGTCGATACTAGAGAGTCCGCAAAGCGACTACAGTCAAATCAGGACAAGAGCAATGCTCAAACTCCAGAATGGAGGCCGCACGGGATCTCCCTCCAGAACGCTGTCCGAGGTGGTCATAAGCGCGCCCCATCACGAGATAGCTCCATCATCCCCGAGCCGATGACGAAGAAAGCCAGGCCATCTATAGCGGTAACTAGCCATGGGCCCATCCATCGCTCTCTTGTGACAGGAGTCACAGATTTCCCTATATCAGCAGATAGTTCCCCGCTCAGGTTTGAGAAACGAACGAGACACAAAACAAGAGAAGACCGTTACTATTCTTGGAAGAAGCCCAAGGAAAAGCGACGTAGGGCCCCTGAGGAGACTGCCAGGCGGTCGGAAGACGTGCCGAAGAAGCCAATCTTATCGGGCCGAGATGTCATGAACAACTTCCAACCTGAAGCCTTTCTGAACGACAGGCTCACGGTGAGTAAGCATTGGATATCCAAGTAAATCTTGGTTAACGAATTTATAGCTCCAGCCGTGCCTGACGCCAGGCCTCTTTCAAAATGGGCAGATATCTTCGTCAAAGCCTGGTAAGTTTATTTACCTAGACAATGTGAACGCGCAACTAATTGTTGTAGTTGTAGACCTAGCCTACAACTCCATGTCTTCGGTCGAGCAGCCTCCATCACGCGAGTACTCGTGGCAACGACAGCAACGCTTAGAAGCCAAGGCTAGACAACGGCGAGAGATTGAGCTGGTGGAAATATCAACGTTTCTTCGTCGCAAGGAGACGCCTACAACAGGACACCCAATCGCCGGCCGAGGGCGATCTCGTGATGGCTACGAAGATTAGAAATCGGAGGACCGACTGCCTGAGAACCTTCCGGCGTGCGACGACCATTTGTCAACTAGAAGCATTACGGGGTCAGATTATTTGAGAGACGACCAACGCTACCACATCCACGACAAGACCTACGTGGCGCCAGCTCAACATGGTCGGTCAAGCAGTAGAGCTACGACTTATGTCACTTGGGCCACCAGTGGCAATCATCAAACATCCTTACCAGGCAACTCTTTCGACCGACACCACAGTAGTACCCCTGAGCCGATTAGAGAGGCGCTTCGAGAGACTGGTGTATTCGATGGTGCTGAGATGAATAGAAACGCTCGTGTCTCGTCGCATGATTTACGTCGACGCAAACAAGAGGTGCATCCTGATGGAGAGTCCAAGAACTTCGAAGCTTCCTGGAAACAGCCGATGATTATTCGGTATTTAGACAAGGGAGTCATGACTACAGACAAATCGCCACTTTCACCTAGCGTTCTGAAGCAATCCAGGAGTTTGTCAGTCGCTCGCGATTCTTTTGTGCTGGAGAATACGGCCGATACCAGGGCGGAGGTCTTGGTGGGCTCAACTACAGAAAAAGCGCTGAACGAGCCGTCTGGCGGACAGATACATAAGGACTCCAACGGAGAGTCCTGTCGCAAGGCTGCCGCTCCTACGACACGATCATCCACGGCTATGCAAGCGTATTTGGTACCACCAACCATTGACCTCTCTGCGAAAACGCAAGCAACATCAAAGAATAATATCCAGGAAGCACAGACGATCATATCAAATACTGCTAAAGCAACTATGCCGGTAGCTGAAAAAAGTGACGTGTGCGCCAAGGGTGACGTCGAGCTCGGGCATGAAGCAACTGTTGACCAGTCTGATGAGCAATTCCTGGCGCCCGAACTGTCTGCCGTGCCTCCAGTACCTTGTTGGCAACATAAAAGAGCCTCAGATGCTCTATCTGGAAGGGAAGAACCTAACGACTCTGCCTTACCCGAAGAAGAACTACTTGACAACAACTCCTATAATCATCTGACCTATGAGATTGACCATAGGGGAGAAACCTTCTGGCCGCCACAGCTTTTTCCATGGACGACATCTCGGGTCAATCAACCAAAAAAGCCTCATCATTTTTCTCGCCCCCGAACAAATGGTCATGGTTCTATGACAAGGTTCAATCCGTCTCAGTTTCAACGGTCGGAAAGCATAATTGATTTCATTGCTCGCGTCGAACAGAAGGTACTGGGACCTGAGAGCTTAGGATACGTGGACGACCCCTCCGATGAGGCTCGCATTTGGCAGCATGATGATCGACTCGGAGCGTCTTCAGACACGTTCAGAGAAGCTCGATCTCTGATACCGCAGGGTATTTCGATCAACCAACCCCTCACAGAACCCGGTCGGCGGCACCCCGAGGACGCTTTCGACCGAATGGAAGAGGAACTATCTGAGATCAGATATCATGGCGAGCGACCCGATCAAAGTAACCAATACTGGGAACAGCAGCAAAAACAGGCGGAGGACGACAAGTACGATAAAGACGAAAAGGAGGAAATGCTCGCCTTCTGGCGGCCAAATTACTTTCATTAGCGACGTAGTCTACTCAGGCTGCTGGTCCTTCCATTTCATTCGGAGGCTTGCCACGTCTATATCACATCTTTCTGCTTTCGCAATTATCGCTTTCGCCTTTCCGGTCACCGGTGCGTCGATCATCATACCGTCCAACGTCCAGGCTCCACGGCCCGCGTTGCTAGCTTTCTCGTCTGCGATTGCAACACGCACTGCCCACTCGACCTCCTTTTCGCCAGGGGCAAACAGTTTCTGGACAAGTTCCACCTGGTTTGGATGTATACACTGCTTTCCATTGAAACCCATGGACTTTCCTCCGGTAGACTCCTCTTCCAGTCGCTTGAGGCCTTCTTCTCCCTTGTAGGAGGTGCAGACAAGGTCGATCGCACTAGGTAAGCCGGCGGCCTTAGCAGCAGTTACAATGGCGGAGCGTGCGTAGAGGAACTCGGTGAGGGATGGCGTTCTAGTCAACGACAAATCCAGGGCAAAGTCTTCGGCCGCAAAGACGAGACCACTAAGGTATGGCGACGCTTTGCAGATTTCTGAAAGGTTCATAACTGAACGTGCAGACTCGATCAAGGCGATGATTTTGATAGGGTTTTGTGATGTCGCCGTGTGTCGTTCGGGGGCTACATGACGCAAAACATCGGTAACGTAAGTCAAATCGGCAGCGGAGTTGACCTTTGGAACAACGACAGCATCGATATTTGGGAGCGAGCCTAGAGATGTCAAGTCGTCCAGAGCAAACTTGGTCTCCACTGCATTGATTCGAACCGCCAATTCGCCTATAGAAGACGGCCTCGACTTATGCTTGGAGAGGAAAGACCGGAGCTGACCTCGAGCCTCTGACTTCAATGAGGGTGTCACAGAATCCTCAAGATCATATGTCACGTTGTCGGACTTTAGGCCCAGCGACTTGGTCAGCATCTTTTCCGATGATGAGGGCACTAGACTCGTCAGTTGAATTCTAGGTTGTCAGAGTCGCTGTAGTCACCATAAAGCAACGCCCGGCGGACAATTGAAGAGGACCTTGCCGCCATGATGATAGACCGTCGGATGCAATGCTACGACTTGGAATTGTGTAAGCCGTAGCCTATCACTCTTGAATTGATTAAGAAATTGGTTGAAGCAATGAATGATCGCTTATAGTGTTGATTGAGGTGATTGGCAAGTCTAGACACGATGAGACGCAGCTCTTGAACCTCTGGCACCAACAAGTCGATGTTGTTTTGAGGACCGATACTCGGTAACTGGAGTTCGGAACGGCTAGCTCAAGTCGGCTACTTGGATGCTGCCCGCAACAGGCAGTGAAGCTGGGGTGCATCTGATGATGTAATGCGAGCACTGGTCGGGACCTGGCGTTTCTGCCGGGCCAGACCGCTAAAGGACCCCTGGACACCGGTAGCGCTAATAATCAGGCGGGTCCCATGTACCAACCGGCCCCCTGGCGGAATAATTCAGCCTCCACCCGCCGAACAGCTTACCGTAGCTTCAACGGGTCTGGGCCAGTCGAACGCGCCTGGGAGGACAGCCAAGCTGGAATCCCACGCCTGCCCTGCGGCCCGCGCATTACGACAGCTGTACCGTAACGAGTTTCTGGCCCTTTTTTCGATCAGTGCATCCCTCTCGTCCCCCTCGACTTTCATCAGAACCACGACATGCGCACGACGACGAAGAACAAACCAAACCCCTGATTGCGTCGTTATCATCTCCCATGTTTGACCAAAAAACCGAAGTTCGGCAATTGAAGTTATAAAGATACGATACCTACCTAGTGCGACGGCCCCCCATCGAAACGAACGATCGTCTTAGTCGACACACCGAGATGGAATCCCAACAGCAGCAAGATGCGCCAGGCTCCCTGAGCTGGCGGTTGAGCTCGCATCCCATCACCCTCTTGACCTTTCTTGCATTTCGGATATGTTAGTCACCCATCAAGCTCCTGGATTCCTTTCCACCGCCTTGATCTCTACTGGAACCTTGACTGACATGCTCTTGTGGGAACAGCAAGTGTACTCGTGTACTTCCTCGGTCTGTGGATCATCAGAAGCATGTACGTCGTCGCAAAGCCCCCCCCCCCCCCCTTCTCGAACCTCGAAACGAAACCAATTCCACAAACCACCTCGAACTTCTCGAGCTGTTGTCTCCATCCATCAAACATGTCCTGGGCCAAGATACTCGCGTACCCACACCCACGGCGCTCATCGCAACAAACACTATGCCCCACGTCCGTTTTGCTCCCGTTTGCTAACCATAACTTTCCCTTCCTCAGGATCATGATCTTCATCATCACCATCCTCCTCCTCGCCGCCGACTTTTACTACCTGAAGAACATTGCCGGCCGTCGACTCGTAGGACTGCGGTGGTGGAACGAGGTGGACGTGCAGACGGGCGACTCGCAGTGGGTCTTTGAGAGCAGCGAGCCCGGCACCAAGACGATCAACCCGACCGACAGCCGCTTCTTCTGGCTCGCGCTCTACGTCCAGCCCGTCCTCTGGATCCTGCTCGCCGTCTTTGCGCTCGTGAGGTTGCAGTTCCTGTGGCTGCCGCTCGTTGGTGAGTTTGCTCTTTTCCTCGAGACGTTTCTCTGGCTGGTCCACCGTCATCCCTGGGGATGACGGGTTTAAGCCTTATTCTCCAGCTTTCGCTGCGATGATACCAGATCTAGTCTTTCTGCGAGAAAACATCGTCTCGATAGCAAAAGCGTGCTGACTCTGGCGTGTGTTTGTAGTCATCGCCCTGGTCCTGACCATCATGAACGCCATGGCCTTTTCGAGATGCGACAAGTTCAGCCACGCGTCCAACATGGCCGGAAGCGCCCTGTACTCTGGCGGTTTGGCAGGGAGCATCGCGACCGGTATGGTCGGCCGCCTCTTCAACCGCGGTTAAAGTCGCATACACACCCCTTTGGGGTCAAGAGCACGATCCTTGTGGGGAGGGGGGTGTATCGGAGCAAGGGCTCGAATACAAAGCACAGCCCGTTTTCGCCGCAAGGCCCAAGACGAAGAAGTGGCGAGGTTTGTGATATTGCTATACCCAAGCTGTATACTAGACATGTAAGCATGACCCGGAAGGTGTTTTTCAAATGATCAAAGGCTTTTTTCTTCTTCCATCTTTTCAAAAAAGCAGCGTTGCATGTGTACTGTGTGTATCGAGAACGGTCTGCGATTCTTGCAAGAAGATCCCAGACTTTGGTCTGATTAATTTCATTGGCGCCTGCGTGAGACGATGCCAGTGAGGCAATGTGCAACCTGTCTGCCTTGCAGGTTTCTGGCAACGGCGACGTATCACAAAGATGTGTATCCAGGGGGGGGGAGGGGGGAGGGGGGACACCTGTGCAGACTCCAAAATTTCAACGACCAAATCCATCTTGATCCACCGCTCAACTTCGAACCATTACGTTGATCCATAGCACGAGATACCAAGGGAACCCGGTAGTAGGTCTTGGTAATGCTGTTTTATTGTATTTCTTCATGAGGTTTTTTGTTCTCTTCATACTTCATCTACTCTAACCCGCTATCCCTTTATCGCTTTTTTCTTTTCTCGTGCCAACCAACACACAAGCTCCGTGTAGCCTCCGCCGCGATAACCCGAACTCTGAGAAAGAGGGCTATTGACGGTGCGGGGAATTTGCCGTTGCGCATATATAGAAACAAGCGCTGGTTTGTAAACGTCCAACAGAGACAGGAAGAGGCGCCTATAACAAATAACGCTATCCAGAACCCTCACCATAGCATATCTCTTCACCCCCGCCTCCCTGACTGAACTCTTGCGTTGACTCAAACTTGATGTCGACGTCGTTTTCGCCCATGTCGTACATCAAGTCTGTCGGTATCTGCCGGGCATCATAGCCTAGATCACCAGAATCCTCTTCCTTCTCGAGAGACTCCTAATTCTTCGGACTGCTGCTCGCCTGCTCTCCCAACGGAGACGGTACACCGCCGCCGCCAGGCGTCTGGCCCCTAAGCACAGTCGCAGCTGGCGCGCTCGCGGGACTCCCCCGCCTCGAAACATGGTTCCTAAGCGCGATATAACGATGCGCCTCGAGTCTTTTCTCCTCAAAAGCGCGGCTACGCTCGCGCTCCCTCTCAATATTCTGCTTGCGCTCCGCAAACTCCCTGTCAACCTCGGCAAGCTTGGCGTTCTTCTCCGCCGACGTCTTGAGCTTCCTCTCGTACCGACCACAGACCTCGTCCACTCTACGCGCAGTCGACGGGGGCACGAGCTTAGGCGGCACGTCATCGGGTCGCCGGCGGGCAGAGTCTCCGTAGAAGCAGCGGAAAGTAACCTTGGTCTGGCTCGTCGTGTCAGCGGCGGTCCCCCAGACAACAATCTCATCACCATCATAGAGCTGGACCCAGTTCTTAGATGGGCCGGCTGGATTCTTGCAGTCGTAGGACAAAAGCGAGACTCCATTGACCTGGACACCATTTGTTGCCTTTGTAGACAGATAAAAGGCGAACCCTTTGCCGTCAGGACTCTTGTCCCAGGGGTGCTTGGTGACGTCTCTGGAGGGATCGTAGCCGTCTTTCCATAACAGAATTTTGAGAGCGTACTTAGGCACCCGAATCTCTGTCTTCTGCTCGTAAATCACTGTATTGGTCGGCCCACGCCCCCATGACAGCAGTGAATTGGTCATGGGGACCGAAATGTTGGAGACCACTGACCCAGGGGCTGACTCCAGCACAGCGACGGCACGTTTCGGTCCGTCGTCAGAAACGGGCACTATTATCTTCTGTGTGTCTGGAGGAAGGGTGTCTGGTAGCGAATCTTCCTCTTCTTCTTCTGGAGGTGCTGTCGCAGGGATATCCCATTCTGCACCCTCCACCAATTTCCTGTCGTCTCGCTTTAGTAAACCTCGATTCGTGTCGTCAATTGAAGACTGTTCCTCGGTGTGCATGGCCGAGACACCATTGTTTGGCGGAAAGTACTTGAAAGCCAACTCCCATAATGGAGTCTTTCCCGGACCAAACTCCTCTCCTTGGCTTTGAGCTGCCTTTTTGAACGTTTCGTACTGTAGTTGGGTCATCTCAGGGTAGCGTAGATGCCATGTTTCGACGTTATTCTTCCAAAAGTTCATCTTGTTGAAGGGTCCGTCTATCTGGCGTCCAGACTCCAACCTCTTAATCTGCGGTACTGACGCGAGCAGGCTGTACTCTTCCATCTGTTTCTCCGCTAACGCGTCGAGGTTGCCCTCTGACTTCAGGCGCTTGAAGATTGGCTTTTCGCGCGGCTGTGGTTCGAATTCGTCGCTTGTATCGAATGATGCCGGCTTCCGTTTGCTAGCGGTGAAGAATGAGCCGTTAACTTGACTAACATCCGCGGACTTCATCTGGATATCGCTACCGAAATCGGTCGCCCCCAGACTTTGAGACGCGACGTTTTCAACCAAACTTCGAAGTTGATCCGCAGACTGGCCATTGGCTGACGAAATGGACAATCGGACTCCGCCACTGCTGGGTGACTTTTTGCCGATAATTGTCGAAACGTCGCCAGAGTCGCAGCTATCCAGTATTTCCGTCTCTACGCTCTCGTTGCCGAGAACGCCTGAGTCGGCCACTGGCAGGTTTAGTCGATCTGCCGGTATCGCTCCCTTGCTTCCCACCGCAGACACATTCACCTCTCCAAACAGTCTCGGACCAGCACCCTGTCCGCGAGGGCCGAATGTGCCGTTCTCCTTTTCTGAATCTTCCTCGAGAAAGTCGTTGACAATATCATCGTCCACCTCGTCATCTAGTGGCAGTTCCGTATCAGGCAGATACCTTGACTGCCCTTCTTCCAAACTGAGTTGGGACGCATTGACCTGCAGCTCTTCGTCCTCGTCGGTGATTTCGTCAAAGGACTGGTCGTAGTTGGTCACAGATCTTAGCCTGTACGGTCCTAACCAGGGATGTGACTGAAGGTCGCGGACAGTCGCCCGGCATTCAGGCCGTTTCTCTAGCATGTAGCACAGAAACTCAATGCCTTGCCGGGAAACGTTTTGTCGTACCAAAGGGACCGTGTTAAGGGGCACCGTCATGATGGTATGCAACAGTTCCGAGTAACTGACACCATTGTTAACTGGGTACGGCGGGCGACCTGTCAACGCATAGAAGAGCACGCCACCGAGCGACCAAACATCAACGGCGTGATCGTATCGCTGTCCAACCGCCGCGCGCTTAGCTCTATTACGAGGGTGTCGGCGGCCGTCGTCGTCGTACTCGGCATACTCCGAGTATACCTCGGGCGCACAATACAACAGCGTTCCACAAAACGTTCGAAGGAAGGTTTGTTCGTTATCGACCATCTTGGAGAGGCCAAAGTCGGTCAGCTTCACCTCGAAAGGGTCAAGTGACGAAATGAGGATATTGTCAGGCTTGACGTCTCGATGCGTAATGTGATTTTCGTGCAGATGCGCCAAAGCACTCAGCAGCTGGGCAGCCATTTGCTTGACGCTAATTTCATTCAGACAGCCTCGGCCGCTGATGAGCTTCCCCAAGTCACCACCTCCGACGTACTCCATGATGATGATAAAGAGCCGATTGTCCCAATCGAGATGCTCAATGTACCGTACAATGTTCGGCTAGTTGGAGTTAGAGGGGTTCGACGTAAGAAAAGGGGGCGCTGCTGGACTTACGTGCTGAACCTTTTGCATGATCCTCATCTCATTTTCCACCTTTTGGTCCAGAACACCGTTTTTGATGAACCGCCTCTTCTCTAGTTCTTTGGCGGCGTATGGGACACCGTCGAACTTGGACGTGACCTTGTACACGACCGCAAAGGCTCCCTTGCCGATCTGGCTGACACGGTTGTACCTACCGGACCCGTCCCAGTCTCTCGGAAACCGGTCGACGTTATCTTGCGTGGTTCCGGACGGCAGCGCTATCCGCCGCGTAGTGGCGGTCTGCGGTCTCCTAGGAGCAGAAAACAAGTCGACATGCCCACCAGGGCCCGGCACCAATGTCTCGTTGACGTCCGACGCGCGCAAACCTTCCATTCTAGCAAAGTATCGCTGGAGTTTCACATTGTACGCCCTTTCGTAATCACCTACTCGCTTCGGCATCCTGACCATGAACTCGAGGTCGTGCTGCTCGTTATGCATCAGCACCTTGATCTTGGAACCGTGACTGAGCACCCTCTTCATGTCGCACTTCTCGTTGGGGCTCTTAGGCTTCGAGCGCAGCAGCACTTGGTCGACAAAGGTCCCGTTGGTTGATTTATCCTCGAGCATGACCACACCATACTCATTAACATAGATGCGAAAGTGAACGTTGCTCAGGCGTTTCATAGGGTCCTTAAGAAAGCAAATATCGCACCGAGCCCCATTTCTGCCAAAGAGAAAACCGCGAAGGGGATCCTTCGTCTCGGCCGACAACCTCAATATGATGGCATGTTCGACGCTGGGCGGCGTCAGCTGGAATTGGTCGGCCGTATCTTCTCTTTCGTAGTCGGGCTCGACGGCATCCGCTTCCGCCCTGCCGACAACATGAGGCGAGCGATCCTTTGCTATGCGTTCTACCTCGCCTCGGGCTGATTTAGTGTGAGGGTAGAGGAGGCAGACAATGTCGGATATGTCCTCGTCGGAGAAGCCCGAGTTCTGCTTGCCTATGCGGCGCGGATCGAGAACATTCTGGGTAGCTAGGTGCCGAAAAGGGGGGGCAAAGGGTCAGCGTCCTGGTCTGCTGGGTCTACGGCGACAACTTGCTTGAAGCTCAAGATGGGACGTAATAAAAAGGCATGGCATACCTTGGGTGGGCTGCGACCCATCGCCCTCCATTGGGACCACCGGATAGGATAGAAGCTGGTCGAGCTTGTCTAGGCTGCCGTTGTCGACCGCAGGCTGGGGTTGACGGACGGCCGGCGCTGGAGGGGCGTCGGTCGAGATGCGCGGCCGGGAATGATAGTTTCGC